GGCTGCCGCGCTCAGTGCAGCTGCGAGAGCTTTGGGCTCCTGCCTGGCACTTGCAGAAATCGTCATGGAATTTGCTGATTCTGCCAGACGCTAGCTGGAACGCTCGTTTCCCAAGTGGCACGTCCCATCGGTGCAGCTGTTGGTTATGAAAAATGCACGAGGGCTTTCGCCTGTAATAATAGAGCTTTGTTGAAGTACTCAAAATACTCCCAAGTAGTACTATCAAATCTCAGCTCCTTGCTTAACCTATAGGAAGCTTTATTCCCTCGTACTTCAGTTAAAACGTTTGTTTATGTCACCACTTATGTCAGAGGTGGGGAGGAAGGCTCAATTTTCCCTCGGCACCGTCAGTAAGGATTAACTGACGCTGTTGGGCAGTGCTTTCAAAATATTCTGACCTATTTACACAACAAAACTGATCAGAACAAAATAAACAGTTCTGGTCCGTGGCTGAATGCTGTGTTGTGGCAGCTATATTTGGCAGTGGATTTTCTCATAGTTTTTTCCAACGTAGCCAAAATCTGAATGCTACAGAAATCGTTAAGTGTTGCAGGCAGATAATACTCATACTGAATAGCTTGATTCTCCTGTTGCCTCTTGGGGAAGGAGGACAGTTAGGCTGTAATTCAGTTGGAACAAACGCTTATGAAGCAACTGACAAAAAAGCATATGAGTAGATTTATCATTTTGCCATGCGGGCTGATAAATAATTGCATGGTTTCCAGCAAACCCCAGTATATACCTGTGAGGTGGTGGATCTCTCTCCAAGGGGTAATCTTTGCAAAAAATCATTAAGTAGGGAATTGTGACAGACGGTAAGATTGTTCATTTCTTGCCTGAGTTTTATTTTTTTACTGTGTAACAACCATAGTAGATACTTGCAATTACCTCCTCATTTTTATGTGGTATCCCCAAAGGAATGAGTCGAGAGAAATGTTTCATTTTAGCTGTTTGGATGACCATTCCATATTTCCTGGGTCACAGATTTTTGGTAGCTTGGAGCATAAAATTACCTGACGTTCAAGACAGGACAAATACCTCTATCTTGTATCTGCAGCACAGATTGTCAGAATACTAAAATGAAACATTTTTAAACTTGTCTTTTTTTTTTTTTTTTTCCAATTTCCTTTAGTGATAGTCCCAATGCTGTCCATGAGGTGGAAAAGTGGTTACCACGACTGCACTCAGTTGTCATAGGACCTGGCTTAGGTAGAGATGAAGTTCTACTTGAGAATGCTAAGGTAATGTGTACACTGGTATTTTGTCCTACATCTTTATGTTGAATTTTATTAACCAATTTCCTGTCTTCTACATGATTACATAAATGTTTTTGTGATAGAGTTACTGGATAACAAATTAAAGGTGTTAGTCACAGTCATCACTGAACTGTAAGCATCACTCTGAATTCTAGGCAGTTGTGTAGTTTTTTCGATTTGCTTTTGTTTTGATTGTGAAAGTTGATAATTAAGAAATAAGTGTTGGTATCTCTAGATAAAGGGCTCTGTGTTTTTTCAGGCGTAAAGCACCTGTACTGCATTCCTGATTTTTGGAACTGTATTTGACAAACTTGTATCAGGAGAAGTATCAAAGAACAGGGACTGTGTCCACTTGCAATAAGAAATAATGCTCTTAGTTACAAAATGTTGCAGATTTCTACTTAGGATAAAGAAGTAATCCTGTTTTCTGTCAAGCCTTAGTGGAGAGCTAAAGACAGGAACTTATATTATTTAGAGTACAGAACTATGTGTACTTACACTGCCTTCTAGATGATGTCTTGTATTACTGTCAACACATCTTTGTAAGTTCATAGTATATCTTTCAGCCCAATGCCAATCTAATTTTGTATAATTAATTTTTTTTCCTGAGAAGTATTACTGAATTAATCAGTGATGCTAACAGGTGGAATTCATAAATTTACAGAAATGTTGACAGTTACACAGTGAAACTGCAAAACAAGAGACAAGAGACTAGAGACTACACCATCCAAGTGGATTAGAATACTTTGAGACCTAGAAAGAGTGAGTTTGCTATGCTTTTGTTAGAGAAGGTTGCTATTGGAGCCCTTTGCTTCTTTAACTCTCCTTCTGCTTCCAGGAAATGTTTGGCTTATGATACAGAGGAGGAAGACTAATAAAGAGCATGGATTCAGAAAGAAGGGAAAAAAGAAGTTTATTACAGTTTATCAAGAAATTTAAATTATGTCTGAATCAAAAATCTTAGCACAGGTTTTATTCTTTTAGGAAAACATTTTTCAGAATTCTTTTTACAAAAAAGGATTTGGGGCAATGATTCAATATTTTTTCTTTTTTTCTTGTTTAATTTTTTGTAAGTTTTCTTTTTAAAGGAAAACAACTTTTAAAAAAAGAAAATAGGAATTAATTTAGAATATCTGAGATATCTAACATAAGCTTCTTTTATATCAGAATTCCATCTGGATTTTATAAACATCTGTCAATGTACTTTTCTGCCTTACAGAAGTATGTGGAAGATTCCTTAATGATTGGGGTTTGGGTGGTTGGTTTTTTTCTTTTTTTTTTTTTTCCGTGATTGCTAAAAATAATTTTGCTTTCTTAGTGAATTACAAGCATACTTCTGCTTCAGCCTGGCTGTCCTGTGTGAGCCTAAAGAAACAAACTCAGCCAATGAAGACAAGGCATTTAGAAGTAACTTCATGCTAAGATCTCAGGCTGCCACTTTCCTATGAGCTGTGGATCTGACCTTATTAATTTCAGGTCGCATTAAAGCTGAAGTTCTTTGTCTTCACCGTAATTATGCAAGTGTTCATTAGTTACCCAGTGTTGTTGGTTTAACTTGTAATTGGGGACAAGTGAACCCTGGTTTCTTGTTTGAGGAAGACTGGTGTTCCTCCCTGCTGAGGAAAGGCTGAGTCTCTCTCTTGCTTTGACAGTGAATTTTAAGCTTCACCTTCAGGGTTAAAAAGCAAGTGATGATAGATAGCATTGTTATTTTAAACTTTTAGAGAAGACTGGCTTGGTATATAATTTTCTGTTTTCCCTTTAAGCTAACCTCAGCATACTGTCATATGAATACAGGGCCGAGATGTAGATCAGTGTCTGCTTTCTGGCTGGGATTTTGTATCAGAGTGGCAGCGGTGATGGGGGAGCGCTTCCCCTCTTCCCGCTCCTGCCCCGTTAAAGTGCTGAGGCGCAGTGGTCTGTCACCTCTCTGATGCTGATCTTGTGTCGGTTCTTGTCAGTGTCATGCCAGCACATGGCCAAGGAATGCGCTTGTCCAAACAGTCATGTGTTTGGGCTACTTCTCTCTCCTCTGCACTCAGAAGTTAAGATGCTAACGCAGTGACCTGCGATTTCTGGTACACAGCCTGTGGACAGTGCTTCATTGTGGAGTAGCCCGACTGCTTGTTGGGTCGGTGGTGCATCTTCTCTCTCCAGAGCAAAGAACGCTTTGCTTCCTCAGCATCTTTACTGTGTCACCTGCCTTCCTCATGCCTAGTGCCTTCAGTGTGTACACTGGCATTTCAGCTCCTTTCAACAGCTTGATGGAAAAGAAGCACCTTGTGATCAACTTCTTTTGATTATTTATTTTATTTTATTTTAGTTTCCCTTGAGAGCATAGTGATATCCTTTGAGTACGTACTTACTGGCTTCCTGTGATTATCTGGTTTTGGCTGTAATTCCATGTACAAGTCCTGTTAGAAAAAGCCACTCTACAAGTTATATCCCTCTCTCATATGCCACTTGTGTGGGTCTGTGCCAAAACCGTCACATGTGGTTCCTTGGTTGCCTGGGTGAGAGCTGAGGCTCTTTCAGAGCTTTTTAGCCGTGGGTTTGCATGGCCAGGAATTGCGGCTTCAGAAAAAAAAAAAATCTAAAGAAGGCATTTGTTGTGTCCCAATAGCTGTGCAGCTGGATCCCATACAGATGTGGCAGTCCTAATCTTGGCCTGGTTAGACCGTCCAGCTCTGGAGCAAATAAACAGTCTGAGCTTTTTCTTTCCAAGAGAAAAGAACAAAGCCACGTTTCTCCTCCACTTCTTAGCTCTGGAATGCGCAGATTGAAGCATCTCTACTCACCATTCTACTTCAGGTTTCTGAAATACGATTACCGCATCTGGCATGGAACTTGGCTGCTGCAGCCAACTTCATCATAGGCAACATCAAGCCATCTGTTTTTTCCCTTCAGTGTCCACAATTGTTTCTGGCCAGAGATGACGGTACCGTTCCTCGCCAAGTTCACCACAGTTGGTGTGCTGCTGCTGGCGGTTTAGACTGTGTTGAGAAAGAGTTTAGCTGCCATGTGGAAGCAAGGCCAAGGTCCCTACAACTGTCCTCTATCAATGCTTAGGAGTAGCGTGTTTTCAAAGGTATTATATTCTTACCATATCTACCCACCCCAGCATTCTTCATTGTTTCCAGGGATGTTTGCACTTCTGGTCTTACTCTGATCTGATTTTTTTTTTTTGTTGCCTGAGGCTTGGAAGGAGGGGAATTCCTGCCTGTATTATCAAGAGCTGTTCCTCGGGTTTGTAAGAGAATCAAGTTCCTTTCCCGCAGGAAGAAGTTCTTTACTCTGAGGGCGGTGAAACACTGGAAGAGGTTTCTCAGAGCAGTAGTGGAAGCACCATCCCTGCATGCATTCAAGGTCGGGCTTGACAGGGCTCTGAGCAACCTGATCTAGTTAAAGATGTCCCTGCTCACTGCAGGAGGTTGGACTAGATGACCTTTAAAAGTCCCTTCCAGCCCAACACATTCCATGATGCTGTGATGAATGCAGCTCCTGAGATGACTTTGGGAAGAATATTACATTCCTTGCATAGCCCTCTGGGAGAGGAGACGGTTCTGCCTAATGCTCCAGGGCGTTCTGCTGCTGCCCAGTAGTTAAGCAGCTACAGGCTTAGCGATGTCCTTTATCAGGTTCCAGCTTCTTGCCATCTCCTTTCCTCTGTTCCTTCTGGCAGGAGTATGATGTTCCGGTCAAGTTTTCTGCTTCTGAGTTTGAATCTTTAACGGGTATGTTACTGACTTTGTGGTCAAAGGGACTGATACAAGATTGTTGGTAGCACAGTAGTTACTGTCAGGATTGGGTAGAGAAACACATATCCCTACGTAGAACCCTGTCCTAAACTCTAGCTATACTTAACGTTGGAATTGTCTTTGTGTGTCGCTGGGTTGCTTGCCTCTCTCCCTGCAGTGGTAGCAGCAAACCCGAAACTCTGCCCCTCCAGTCCTGCTGTGGTTTGTTTTGCAGCAGCAAAGTTACATTGCTGTTCTCAGCAGAGCATGCTTGCTTCCCTCCTGTAAGAGAGGTAATGATTAATAGCGAGAGTGGCTCTGTGTAACTCAGATTACATGCTAAAATTGACTCGCTTCTCAAACCACATACTTGTTCCTCTTGCTTAATTCTCGGTCTTTGTTTTAGTTCCAAGAAAATGTCCTGAATACCACCAGCCTGGGTTCTTCTTTTGGCTGAGGCCCTCCCTAACTGCCGTTTCTGCCCGTTGCTGTTTTCTTTTCCCCCACCCCCCTCACCCTGCAATGCTACAATTAGCCAGTCATTTGCTCTTGAAGATCTCTGCTATCTGTTGAGATCTAAATTTCAGAAATTTCATTTCTCGTCGCTAGTGACATAATCTTAAAGTTGTGTTGAAATGTCTTGGCTGTAGTTAATGTCTGGCAAAGGATAGGCGAGATTTGGGCCATTGTCATCGATCACTTCTATTGAGTGTGCCCAGAGAGAACCCATTTGACATTTTTGCTTTCAGATGAATTCTGAGTTCCACCTCAACTGAGGTATCAGCCTTTCTGTGTTTGTTTTTGATCAGTTGGATTAATTTCCTCCTTTGAAGCCTCATGCCTTGAGGATTTAGACAACAATTCACAGCCTTTATAAACTGTGAGAACAGGACCAGGTGCTCCAGTGCACCATCTGCACTAGTTTTTACAAGAGGAAGAGGACTACCAAATACAGAGCCACCTTTTGTTGCCGTCGCAGTCTGTTAAAGCTACTTCTGCTGCTGTCCAGAACTGTTTTCGTCTTGATACCTGGAACCCCTGGGTTCCATTTGTACAAATCGGAAGATACCTGAGAAGTGTCCCAGGCTAGTTCTGCTGTTGATTGGTTAGCTGTGTTGTCTGTGGGACCTACCACTGTGTGCAAGTAGAAACAACAGAATGTGATACTGTTTGGAGTCGCTGCTCATGTGAACTCAGGTTAGCAGAAGAATTATTTACCAGAAAGTTAATTCTTTGGTGTGTCACATA